CGTGTATATTTTGAATGGTGGGGCAGTCAGCTGGTGTAGTTGCAAGCAAAGCGTCGTGGCGGGATCTACATGTGAAGCGGAGTACATGACAGCCTCGGAGGCAGCACAAGAAGCAATCTGGATGAAGGAGTTCATTACCGACCTAGGAGTTATTCCCAAAGTGTCGGGCCCGATGACTCTCTTCTGTGACAACACTGGAGCTATTGCCCTTGCCAAGGAGCCCAGGTTTCATAGGAAGACCAGGCATATCAAGCGTCGCTTCAACTCCATTCGTGAAAATGTTCAAAATGGATACATAGATATTTGTAAAGTGCATACGGACCTGAATGTCGCAGATCCGTTGACTGAACCTCTTCCTCGAGCAAAACATGATCAACACCAGAACTCTATGGGTGTTCGATTCATCACAATGTAACTAGATTATTGACTTAGTGCAAGTGGGAGACTGTTGGAAATATGCCCTAGAGGCAATAATAAAATGGTTATTATTATATTTTCTTGTTCATGATAATTGTCTATTGTTCATGCTATAATTGTGTTATCTGAAAATCGTAATACATGTGTGAATACATAGACCACAACATGTCCCTAGTGAGCCTCTAGTTGACTAGCTCGTTGATCAATAGATGGTTATGGTTTCCTGACCATGGACATTGGATGTCATTGATAACGGGATCACATCATTAGGAGAATGATGTGATGGACAAGACCCAATCCTAAGCATAGCGCAAGATCGTGTAGTTCGTCTGCTAAAGCTTTTCTAATGTCAAGTATCTTTTCCTTAGACCATGAGATTGTGCAACTCCCGGATACTGTAGGAATACTTTGGGTGTGCCAAACGTCACAACGTAACTGGGTGACTATAAACCTGCACTACGGGTATCTCTGAAAGTGTCTGTTGGGTTGGCACGAATCGAGACTGGGATTTGTCACTCCGTATGACGGAGAGGTATCTCTGGGATTGACAAAGGGAATTGTATACGGGATTGCTTGAATCCTCGACATCGTGGTTCATCCGATGAGATCATCGTGGAACATGTGGGAGCCAACATGGGTATTCAGATCCCGCTGTTGGTTATTGGCCGGAGAGTTGTCTCGGTCATGTCTGCATGGTTCCCGAACCCGTAGGGTCTACACACTTAAGGTTCGATGACGCTAGGGTTATTAGGAAGATTTGTATGTGATTACCAAATGTTGTTCGGAGTCCCGGATGAGATCCCGGACGTTAAGAGGAGTTCCGGAATAGTCCGGAGATGAAGATTTATATATGGGAAGTCATCATACGGTCACCGGAAATATTCAAGGGTATACCAGTATTGTACCGGGACCACCGGAGGGGTTCCGGGGGTCCACCGGGAGGGTCCACCTGCCCCGGAGGGCCTTATGGGCTGTAGGTGGAAGGGAACCAGCCCCTAGTGGCCTGGGCGCCATTCCCCCCTAGGGCCCATGCGCCTAAGGTTTGGGGGAACCCTAAAGGGGGGCGCCCCCCTTGCTTGGGGGGCAGCCCCTCCCCCTTGGCCGCCGCCCCCCTCTAGATCTCATCTAGAGGGGCCGGCCCCCTTCCCCCTTCTCCCTATAAATAGAGGGGCGAGGGAAGGGCTTCAACACCACATCCAAGGTGCAGCCCCTCCCCTCCCCAACACCTCTCCTCCTCCGCGTGAGCTTGGCGAAGCCCTGCCAGAGAACTGCCACTCCATCACCACCACGCCGTCGTGCTACTGTTGGAGACTTCTTCCTCAACCTCTCCCTCCTCCTTACTAGATCAAGGCGCGGGAGACGTCACCGGGCTGCACGTGTGTTGAACGCGGAGGCACCATTGTTCGGTGCTTAGATCGGATTTGGCCGTGATCTGAATCGCTACGTGTACGACTCCTCCAACTGCATTCTTGCAATGCTACCGACTCGCGATCTTCAAGGGTATGAAGATGCACTCCCCTCTCGTTGCTAGTTACTCCATAGATTGATCTTGGTGATGCATAGAATTTTTTTAATTTCTGCAACGATCCCCAACACCTCCTCCTCCATGGCGCCAAAAGAGGGAGGCCGCCTCGCGCCGCCGGCGTCCCGGAGCTCGCCGGTCTTCCGCGCATCTCCATGCCACCATGTCAGACCACCTCACCACCGGCGACGAGCCCCGGTGCGCCCTCCATCTCATTCCTTTCTTCCTTGTTTCTCTTTTTTCCTCTCCATGTCCCTCCGATTTTACTCACCTCCCATGCCCATGCCTGCATAGGTCGTCGACATGGCCAACGAGGAGCTCTCTGCCTTGGCCGTGAAGAGGACCCTCACACCGTCGTCTTGCTCTCCTCTGCACTGGATCCGGTCCCTCTACAACAGCCGTCGCTAGATCTGGTCTCCGCTGCCCGTCCGCACCTCCGGCGACCCTTGTCGTCGCTGGATCGAACCATTGGCACCATTGATAGCACGCACGGGATTGAGATTTTTTTTCGTTTTTGAAAACAGATAGTTAGTAGTAACACACGTACTAGTAGCGTGGGATGCACCGCGCTATTACTATTAGTTAGCTGTAGCGCCGTGGTAGTAGCGCAGGCACCCACGCTACTATTAGCTTTTAACCCGCGTTACTACTAGGCTTTTTCCTAGTAGTGTAAGCACACTGATGAAAAAGGGAAAGAGCAGGGTGAACATTATTCTTACACTGGTATAATACCTCTGCCTTGCCGTCTTAGACCAAACTCGAAGAATCCCTAAAGCAAACGTGAAAAAAGTTTCACCCCGACCATTCACCGAATCCCTCTTCTCCACTGACCTAGATAGGGCGGGCCTCCGTTGAAGATCGTTGCGCTGGACCACCAATGCCACTGTCTAGCATCGCTTGAAGAAGACTGCCACTCGAACACACATCTCATTCGACATCCCACAACATCCCTCCAACTCCTCCACAAACAAGCTAGCTGCCCCCAATCAAGATCTCCTGTCCTCGCCGGCGCGGCACGGGATTTGCATGGCGGCGGCTAAGGTACGTCTCGGGGGAGGAAAGCTGATAAGAGAAAAGTACTCCCTCCATTCATTATTACAAGATATAAATGAGTTTTAGTGTATTTATTCACTCTTAGCCCGTATGTACTACCTCTGTTCCTACTAAACATAAGATGATTTGACCAAAACATATTACATATGCGAACAAAGTGTGTAGTTTATATACATTGAAATACCCAATACTACATTTTATAATTCGAAACGGAGGTCATACATTTTTAGTCATGGCGGAGTTGATGTTCTTCTGCATCGTGGCAGAACGCGGCGACGGTTCCGGCGGCTATCGTCACGCCGGCAGCGGCGAGCTGCCGAGACGAGCTACCTCGGGCGCTCACCAAGTGCTCGGTGAAATGCGTGGGAGGAGGAGGAAGAAGAATGTGATGTTAATTAATTCTAAGCTCCAACACAAGGATGAAATGCAGTGTTGGTAGATCATGTTTGATCATAGCATTCCGATCGTCTTCGGGATCGAAATGTGCATTTGGCAGCATGGAGATTGCAATACTAAAAACTCCTAAATGAACAAGGGATGGACAGCCATCCCAGAAACAAAGAAAAGACCTTGTGTCGCACCATTTCGTGCCACCAAGGAAAGGATCAATCATGCCTACTGACTACTCTACTCTACTCTACTCTAGCAGTGAAACAGAGCAAGTTCGTAGCTTGGGAACCGATGATGGATCGATAAATCTGCTCAACTCTCACTCAGCATCACCAACGCCTCCGCGGCCTCCAGTGTCCTCGCGCCCGGCCATCCTCCGGGACGGGCACCTCCATCATCAGCCTCCATGGCGTCCGCACGGGGGATACCAACGGCGTGCTCCAGGACGGGTAACATAGATGGAAGAGGCCGTCTCCAGAAATTCAGGGCCCCGATGCGAAATGCGAATTGGGGCCCTGAAATTTCTAGAATACACATTTTTTATGAAAGAAAAATGAATAAATTCAAACACTAGACAAATTATAGGCTTGTCAAGATACTAAAACAAAAAGACTAAACCTACTATGTATCTTCTCAAGATAATTTGATTGATGAACTGATGCATTTGCACACAATATACTCATCTATATATTCAACACAACAAAGTAGTCTAATTTAAATATGGTTTCAGTTTGAGCGCACCTGGTGGACAGATAGGTGATGTCCTGACCTTGGTATCGGCCACCGACTGTTTTTCTACTTGTGCGCTTTTTTAGATTTTTGTGTCATTATATTGAGAATAGAAAAGAGTATTTACAGGATGGTGTTATAGCGAAGAAAAACTGGATGACCTACGCGCAGAAACTTGGCATTAAGCAACCTCTCGAAGAAACCTGCCAGATTGGGTCACCCAAACGTCCATTCAGCAAAACCAAAACGCTGCATAATTTCAACGAGGAACAGAGTCGTGCATCGAATCCAATTGTTCCCAAAACCAAAAAGCTGCATAATTTCAACGAGGAACGGCCATTCAACAGAATCAAAAGCATAAGCTATATTAATAAGCTTGATCATCTGAGAAGGCACCTTCTTGTGATGCAGTGCGCCTGTGCGCGGATGGCTTGCTGTGCCATAAGGTATGGAAATTCCTCATGCGAGCAGGGCTATGGCCTATGGGCTGCGCCTCCGGGCAGGAAACCAAGCGATCAAACAAACTAGCAGACATCGCCGCTAGCCTCCGTCTTAGAACAATTTTAGTATCGGTTGTTATGAGGTAACTGTCTTACTGTGTGTCTGTGTGGGATCACAGGATCAAAAAGGAAGGAACCCATGTCCTCATGTACTAGGATATACGTGGGAGGTTTGCCGATACGTCATCTAGCCAACTCGGAACACAAGATATCATGCTTGGTCGCTTTTGGAACCAAAGTAGTACTAGAGTTACCGAGTTGGTAAGATTGACATTCTATGTGGTACTAAGCTCAATAATAATTCACAATAACATCAATGACCGAACATGTTGCTAGATGACGAACTGATTAATTATTGACGGGAGCTTGTACATATGATCAAAGATTGATCACTTGTGGATAAGCATGGCAATGAGTTCGCCTGCGACGCCACATCGCTCTGTCATCTCGCGATCTATGTTTGTCACTGGGGATTTCTTCTCCATCCCCTTAAACGCATTCTCGCAATGATCACCAACGCCCTTGATATCCAACATGAGACTCGACGCGGTAATGTAGTCCCCATCATGAAGGAGAGTGCGGACGTCGACCTCGAGTTCATTGCCCGCGAATTGATAGGACCAGAGGCAGACGTTTAACACGCCCCCCTCTGGCGTGCCCTTCTTTTTCTTGGCTAGGTCATCGATGACCTTGGCGTTGTGGTTGGCGGTGTCACCGGCGATCTTCACCGCGATGTTGGCAAGTTCCAACTCAGTGGAGGCATAGGTACTCTTTGGATCTATGTGCAGCACGGACATGCACAACAAGGCATTCTTGGTCTTGTTGCAAGTCCGGGCAACAAAGCTGGTGTCGGCATCGGCGACAGAGATTCCGAAGGACATGATGCCGAGAATAATGAAAACCATGGCTACAGATGTTGCTCGGTTCGCCATTGCAACTTTCAGTTTGCACCTACCTAGGTGTCGTTGCTATCTCGGTGATTCTTTCTTCTATATGTAAAGGTACACACACGAGAAAATCCTTATGATATGACCCGCCTAAATGATTGTATGATTGTGTATTTATTGTTCTCGCTAGATCAAATGTCATATCAAATCAAATCAATCAAATCAAACCGAATCAAATCAAATCAAATCAAATCAAATCAGATCTTTCCCTATAATATATATAATAATAAAGCAATTATCGTCTCTACCCGCCTGCTCACCGTAGTGACACTTTTGCTAAAATCCCCCTGTGTTTCTCAATAATACAACCCACAGTCCTTTTTAAAGTGGATAATCTGAGAAAATGTTTCGTTCTTACACAAAGGACCCTGCATTTTTTAGTATTCAACCCGCAGTCCTTTTAAACGCATTGGCTCCTTCGATCAACCCCAACGCGGAGACCCATTTTGTCCGCGGGCGTCCGTTTGGGTCTGCGCCGACAAAAATGACGGCACAACACAGAGACCCATTTTGTTCGCGGGCGTCCATTTGGGTCTTCGCCGACAAAAATGACGGCCCAATGCAGAGACCCATTTTTATTTTGTGTCCGTTTTGTGTCCATTCACACCCATTTTCAACCCAAATTTGGTCCGCCACTCCCACCACTCCCACCACTGGCCACGCCGCCGCATGGCTGCTGCAGCCTCGCCGCTCAACCGGAGCACCTTCGTCTCCAGCCCGACGAGGCCATGGAGGTCGTACTGGAGACGGACGAGACCATGGAGGTCGAACCGCTGTGCGTCGAACGGCTCAGACAAGGCGGACGCTCGGCGTCGGCCTCGCCTCCCCAGTGCGCGGCCGCCATCTGTGCTCACCGTGGCCGCGCCCTTGCTAGCTGCGCGTGTGCGTGCTTGCTAGCTAGTTGCCCGCGGCATGCTAGGTAGCTAGCTGCGCTCGTGCTAGCCGGCCGGTGGCCGCGTGATAGCTGGCTAGCTTGCACGCCCGGCCACCTCGCCGCTCGCGTGTTGGAGCGGTGGAGCTCGCGCGCCCGGCCGCGCCATGGTCGCTGCGTCTACCCGCCATGCGTGTGGCCTCTGCCCTATCGAGCCGCCATGGACACCGTGCCCAGCTACGCCACCATGGACACCGCGCCGAGCCGCCATGCTTGTTGTGCTCGCCGAGCCGCGCTTGCCCTGCCTCGTCTCGCGCCCATGCCGTGCCACCCCGCCTGTGCGTCTCCACGTTGGAGCTCGCGCGCCCGACCGCCTCCGTGTTGTGGCTCGACCGCTGGACTCGCCTCGCGCCGGACCGGTGTTGCTGGAGCAGGTGGTCACGCCAGCCAAGCGCCCCTCCACGTCTAGCCGCCATGCGTGCCGCCCCGCCGTGCCGAGCCATGCTCGCGTGGGTGCAGCTCGTCCCAACATGCACCGGCGTCGCTGCCTGCTATTTGTTCGACAAAATGTCACGACAAACATGCACAAAATGCATCCGGCTGCCGTTGGGTGCACCAGCCGACCCAATTGTGGACGCGGACGCGCGATCCAAACGGACAAAAGTGGACAAAATTGGTGTCCGTTTGGTGTGATGCCTTAGCTCGCTGAAAACAGACGCGGAAAGTCCCTGGACACGCTCGTGTGATGCCTCCGCACTGCCTTTGAGGAGCACGGCGACTGCCCGAAGGACAACCCGTTCAGGGTGACCATGCGGGAGACCTCGATGGTGTAGTCCCTGCTGTTGCTGTTGGGGAGGACAGCCAAGGCACACAGGGTCAGGTCCACGATGCCCATGTACGCGGTGCAAGTGTGTGCTGTGCAGACAAACTGTGTGTGGTATGTTTACTCAACTTGTGATGACAGCTCTTTGGTTAGTAGTACCTTCGTCCCTAGATTTTCACTCTAAACATCATTATATTTTGGACAGAGGGTGTGTTTGCGAAAATTGTTGTTGTTTTATTTTTGAAGTTATTCCATTAATTTTGCATCACAATATATCAATTTGTACGGCTCCGGCATATATGTTTATCACCATATGGCCGTTCGAGTTTTGGTATATGGGTGTTCGGCCGATTGTGTTGACGAATATTTCCGCATTGGTGAAGACATGCTCTTGGAGGCCGTTCGAAGGTTCACTAAAGCAGCGATCATTGTCTTTGACCCGGAGTACTTGAGTCTTGAGAGCACCTAACGAGGAAGATACCCAGAGGCTGGTGACAGAGAGTGAAGCAAGCGGTTGGCTAGAGATGCTTGGATCACTTGACTGTATGCGCTGGACATGGAAGAATTGTCCTGCAGGATGGAAGGGTCAGTACAAAGGTCATTGCAATGATCCAGCGACCATTCTTGAGGAAGTTGCAACTAAGGCCACTGCAACGATCATAGAAGACGAAAGGGATATGCCCGAGAACTTTCGGTATATCACCAATGAGACTTCAGTTTGAGCCAGAGTATGATACAAATAGGATCCCGGCATTCCTTGAAGAGCATCGCAAGATCGAGAACCGACAAGTTCATGCTCAGCTCCAACAAGATCTCATTGAGCATCACTGGCGACGTCTTAGTGAGTCCTTGTTGTTCTATCACATGCTACTTGCTACATTTGGACATTTGGCGTGTTTAAATTTGAATAATTAGATTTGTAGACTTTAAATTCAGGTTCATCGGAGAAAAAATGGGTCATTGCCGGGGCTAAAGGGACGGTCGGTGCGTTGACAACATGGTAGTGAGAGGAGGTTGAGGGGAGGGGAGGGCGGTGAGGCGGCACAGGAGTGGGCCGCGGGCGGTGGTGGCCAGTGGTTTGGCCGGTGCCACATTCGACGGTTGGGGAAGAAGAAGAATCGCGGGCTGGAGGTACAAGATGAACATGAAAACTGTTCAGAGTTGAAAGTATATGCCGTTGGATCTGCATCCGAAGGCCGAAAATGTTTCGATTGGCCCTAATTTCAATTTCAGTCGACTTACTCTCAATATTATTGAAGTCAAGTGACCATGATTAAAAAAACTACTTGTATATAAAGGAGCATATTTTTTTTATTGGTGGATCTATAACATTTAGAATATATCTGTGACGGGAAAGAGCATATTTGATACTGGTCACTTGGCTTCAATAATACTGATCCACCAATATTGCATCTCTATGATGGGAAAGAACATACTCCATACCCCATATTAGTTTTGTCTAAAGTGAAACTTTATAAAGTTTGACCAAGTTTGTAGAAAACAATATGAATATTTACAGTAACAAATTTATATGATGTGAAAATATATGCAATGATGAATTCAATGATATATATTTGGTGGTGTATATATTAACATATTTTTCTACAAACTTGTCGAAAATATATAGAGTTTGACTTTAAACAAACCTAATATGCGGAGTAAATAAAAACGAAGGGAGTATTTGTTTTATGTGTGTGTGGGGGAAAGGCCATATTTGATACTCTGAATATATATGACATTTTCTATTTGTGAGTAAAAGATAACTCATTCAGGCTTATAATTCTAAGTGTAGAATGTCTGAAAGTTAAGAATGGAGGTGAGTGAGGCAACTCCATGGTTTTCTTCTTCTTCTTTTTTCTTTCGAAATAGAGGTTAAACCTTCGGCCTCTGCATCATTCATGATGCACACAACCATTCTTATTAATTATTAAGCAGAGTATAAGGAAATACAACCATGGCTGAGCGCCCCACACCGTCGTCGTCACGTATGGCAAAAGATGGACAAGACAAGGATTTTCATCCTGATTGCGAAGGCCAAGGCCAACACAATGGGAAGACAAACCTTCAAGTTCGTCATTGCTGAGACCAACCGATGAAGACCGAAATAAGTGTTTTCATCTTGGACATGAAGTTGTTTTCAATCATCATTTTGGAGACGGATCTTCTAGTAGTCACGCAAGGATGTGATCCATGCTATGCTGGAATGATGCTAGCCGAAGGGTGGGACATATTCACACCATAGACAACCGCCCACGCCGGTCGTCCATGATGCGGCGGGATTTGGCGGCACCTGCGCCGCATCTGCACGATGAAGATCGTTGTCTTGACCGTTGCTGCCAATGATTGTCACTGTCGCACCACCCTCCTGCCTGCTGCCGCCAACCACTGAGATCCGTTGTCCGCCGCCACTGGAGCCCGTCGTCGCCATTGCGCCACTGCCAAATTCCAATTTAGGGGAAGATTTTTTTCGGGAACTGCAAAAGTAGCTCCCCTATCAACCTCCGCTAGATTATATGGACACCTCGTAAAACTATATTTAGGGGGATTTTTTTGGGGAACCGTTGGTGATACTCTAAGGCCATGTATTAAGCCTCACATGGTTCTTACTAAATACAGTCATGCGGGAAAAAATACGTTCAAATTTTTGCGGTGTTGAAATCTTCTTCCTTCTACATCCACCAGGGATGTGCCATGAGAATAGCTCGATACCGCCTCTTAGCCTCGACCACGTCAGAGCAAACCTTTTTAAACCCAGGAGATTATAGAAGCAGTGTCCAGGAAGTCATCGACGCAAACTAGCAGAAGCCGACAATCGTGATCTGCGCAATAAATCGCCGCCTGGGAGAAGAAAACGCCGGCAAGGGCCTGTAGAAACTGCAAAGACAAGGAAAGCCGGCTGAATATAGAATCCAACGAATACCAAAACCGAACGGATCCCAGAAGACCCATCAGAGACATTGCTCCACAGTCCACACAACCCTCGCCTGTGATAAGCACACCGTCGGAAAGGGAAAAGAGCGGGGTGATCAAACTTGAAGAATCATAAAGAAAACGTGAAAAAAAGTTTCACCCCGACCATGCACCTACTCCATCTTCTCCAATGACCTAGACGGGTTCGCTTGTCGCTCCGCACAGCACGCCGTTGTGATGTGTTCTTGCCGTTTCCGAGGACGCCTGAACACGTATGCCGGGAAGTCGCCGTCGAGGCTGCTCGCGCCCACGGTGGTGATCCACGGCATGAGCGTCGGAATTCGCGGGAGCCAGCGTCGTTCCCGGCAGAGCAGGAGACCA